TGCCCTTCCTAGCGGGGGTAAGAACGGTTTCCCTCGGGGCAGCGGCGCCCAAGGCAGAGGGTTTGGGGTTTGGGGGTCGGCGAGGCTCTACCTACAGCCACTTACTTCCTTGATATTTATTTCACGAATTTATTGATCTCAGGATCTTTTTTAAGTCGTGCTTGATTCCATGACTTTATTCGAGTTTTACCTTTAAAGTCTGTTTAGAAACGCGATCGCGAATATATTTTTTTTCGATTACTGGTGAAACTTACCTTCGCAGCCTTACGAGACTGGGATTTTCGCACTTCTGCTCAGGTGCCATTAAGGCCAAGTCCGCTGTCGGCAAGATGGTAAAAGACCCTTAGCTCTACGGATTTTCCAAAGCCACTTGCGGACTCGTCACCTCACAGCCGCTTTGCTTCTGAATCCCTTGCAATTTTCCCCTTTTTCCCCCCCACCCCGTCCACCTTTTAGAAAGACCACACGGGCGGACCCCCACTTGAACTCTCTCGATCGTAAGTCTAGCGCAGGACCTTTCCTCAGCCTAGAAGCAACGTGAAAAATAAAAGTTCTGAGAGTTGGCGACAACATTTAGCAGAGTCCACGAAGCCGACCCGCCCAGGAGGCTTCTGACCTGACCACTGGGGGCGAGAGAGTCCCTTGCGGCTACACAGGAATCGCTCACGTGCCGTTCCTCCGTCGTTGGAACTGTACTAAATGTCTTACAGCAAATACAGTTACTGTGATTATCCTACTTTTAAATCATATGGCATATTGAAAGTATTATCATATTGCTGTACTATCAAAAAAAAGAAAAGAAAAAAAAAAAACGTATATACTATAAAAAAAATACCGTACATACTACCAAAAAACAAAAACAAAATGCCTTACATACTACCCCCCAAAAAAAAAAGAAAAAAAAAAATACCGTACACATATCCACATCATTATGCTCGAGAGAACCCCCCTGCAAGACGCCCTATGCCCACCCACTCCCCTCCTCTCTCCCACTCACCTGATCCTTCCACACGTCCCTGAGGGCCTCCTGCACGGTCGACCAGTCCAGCAGCTTCTTCCACACGGGCTCGCTGACGTCGAAGGGCCGGCGGTCGGGGTCCAGAGGCGGAGGAACCAGGTACTCCCTCAGCACGGCGATGGTGTCGGGGTCGTGAGCCTTGAGGGGGCCCTCGAAGTAGCGCGGGAGGCATTCTGGAGGGGGAGGGGGGAGGTTAGAAGAGGAGGAGAGGAGGAGGGGAGAGGAGGGGAGGAGGAAGCAAGGAGGGAAG